ACATGACCTTTATTAGTAATTAAGTCATTGTGTAAACCGTAAACAAAATATTTTAATCATGGAAAATAAAATTTGAAAAAGTTTATCTTTTGTAAGCGCTTTATTTAGAAGAAATGTCATTCCCTAATGTCAGAGTTCAATGTACACAATACAGCCTTGTCTCTCAGTCTCTACATTACTTATCCCAGGATCATCTGATCAACTGTACAATATATATACCGGGTACCTAGTTAAGGTCTTCCGTTTCCAACGGAAGACCTTCTACTGATTCTGATGATTAAGATTATTCTTATTATTCTTTTTTCCCTTTCCCTAGACGCCAACTTTGAAGCTTCATATTTCACGCATTTCTCAATGGATTTTACTCAAATTTTCAGAGTATATACATGTGTACCTAACCTCTATCAGAATTTTATCTAACATTCCAAAAAATCACTTCCGCTTTAGAGTTATTTCCTTTTAAACGAAAATTTATAGGCTTTCATTTCCAGACAAAGGCTCGGAGATAGCAAAAGCTGGAGCAGAAATTTTTTTTGATTTTACACAAAAAAAGGTTTGAAGTTGTGCATAGTTGTTTTTGTTTTTCGATTTCTCTATTCAAAATGGTGCTATACAGTGGTCAAAAATTAGAACGCCTAAAAGAGAGAAAATTTACACATATTTTGCTTTTTATCTTCTAAACTTAAAATATTTCGTTGAAACATATAGAAAAAATTTGTGCAGAATTACAAGATCTTTTAAATTAGATCTCGAAAAAAGGACTGACCCCTAAATTAAGGGATCTAGAGGGGCCAAAAGTTTTTTTTCCAGAAATCTCAATAAGTATTGAGAATTTGTAGTACGTCCAAGAAGCAAAGTTGTTCAAAATGTCAAGTTTAATCTATTGAAATCAAAATGCGTCCGGCGACGTCACATGCAGTCAAACCGGAAGTCGTCAGAAAATGCATATTTTTGCAGTTGTTGACAAGTTTTTGGGTAATATATGTCACTGGAAGCATAAAACTTAATTTTCCGTCCGTAGACATCACTTCCGGTTAAACCGGAAGTAGCCAAAAATGGCTTATTTTTTAAGGTTTTGATGCAAAATTGAAATTATAAAGTGACTGGATACGACTTAGCTCATTGCTTTCTTTTGTTGACGTCACTTCCGGACAAATCAGGACGGAAGACCTACTCGTTGCTTTGCAACGATCTTTGCTCTAGTTTCTAGCCATGTTTCTGTATCACTTATCCTTGTCTCTCATTCTCCACTTATCCCAGGATCTTCTGACATTCCTTCATTCCTCCAGCTTCTGGTATTCCTGCACAATCCTAAAAATAGAATATTTCTCTTTAATTTCTATATGCTGCTTCCTTAACAAAGAAATTCAGAGAATCTCTGTTACACGCTTAAAGTAAACAGTCTATGATAAGACTGTAGCTATATTGGTCTGAACGTATAACAGAAAAAAAATCACTTGGATTTTAAACTTTGTAACAGGCAGTGATAGAATTGTGTGCCTTGTATTTTATTTGTGAGCCAAATTATATTGACATCAGACTAAAAGTAGAAAAATAGCAATGGCAACATAATTAACTGAAAACAAAAATCTATTTACACTTTAGTGCATCATAAATTAGTCTAAATCTGTGCCAATTATCCCGAAATCAAAGTAGCTTTTACAGGAATGTCACAGAAATTACTATTTTCAGTAACCATGACAACACTATTCAAAGAAATAAAAAACCGATGCACCTGTTATTTATCTTAATGTAGCAAACGTGTGTGTGTCAACTTATATTGAAATCAGACAAAAACAGTAGGAGGAATAATTCCTATTTCTAGTAACACTGGTCACGGTAGCCAAGTGGTCCAGTTATGGTTTAAAATTTATTTACAACTCAAAAGCTTCTTGAGCTATCCCCGGGAAAATTTTTTTTTAATGTAAACCAACTTTTATTCGCGACAACTTTATTTTTGCGATTTACCAGGAGTTAACTAGTTCGCGACGATTAATTTTCGCAATCGAGCCTTTTTAATCTGATGTTAATAGACACAGAGACTTTAATGACCGGTTCGCGACGAGGAATATTCCTGATGACGAGGCTCGAATAAAAGTTGGTTAACAGTATATATACACAGAGATTTTGATTGATGACTTTGACCTTGAACCCAAGAATCGATAGGTATCTTACTTATGCCATAGGAAGTTATTTCGTACAATTTTATTGCAAACGCTCCCAGAGATATCATGTCGATATGAAAGACTAACAAACCGACAGAAATACAGACAGACAGAAATTAATATCTCAAATTTTTAGATAGGGACATAAAATACAATTTAAGTCACATGGTCCAATTGAGACACATTTTATTGCACAAGAATGGATATGCATAATATGTATAAAAAAATATGCAAGTTTGCCCCGCCGAGGATATATTAGTAAAGCAACATGAAAATTTGTATGTGCATAATTTTTTTTAATGCTTTATTTTTGAATATTTTTATACTTATAAAAGAAACACAATACACACACAAACACATCCTCACACACCACACGCACTCTGTGCACCTTTCCCAAAATACCAGCTTTCATAATTACACCTTAAGTGATAATTGAAATTATGTATAACAAATCAAATAAAACGTTGACCATTTACTATACATTTTAGTTCTACAATGAAAATTGCTCTAACAATATTTTTCAATTTTCCTGTAATACTTAAAAATGTTAACAGCTTCTGTAAATTTAGATATAGTACATTGAGTTCTTGAGTAATACAAATACTTTTTTCCTAATAAGATGAAAAATTTTTCTAAACAACTTCCTTCAATATTACACAGTATCATCTTTTGTTTTGAAATTGCATAATCATTTTCAAATGCTTGATACCAATTTTCAAAATCTTTCCAAAAAATAGTTACATGTTTACAATCATAAAAGAAGATGAATCAATGTTTCTGGATCTGTTTTACAGAAAGAACAAAAATTGTTTTCAGCAATTTTTATCTTTTGAAGAAAAGAATTTGTGGCAAGGATGCCCATAAGAATTCTATATTGAAAGTAAATTATTTTGGTGTCCTTTGTACAAATTGAAGCATTCCGAAGGAAAAATTCCCAGTGTTTTTCTGTAATAGGTTCATTTAAATAAATCTCCCATTTTAACTTTTTGGAGTCTGGTGCCACAAAATTCTTATCTTTTATAATTTTATACAGAAATTTTATACTTGTCACAGACATCATTTTTTGTATAACATATTTCTCTGGTGCTGCAAATTGATTGCCTCTTTCTGTCATATAAACAGTTACTTCCCTTTTGACTCTTGCTGGCACTCTTGATACAATGTTAAAATAATTAAAAGATAATTAGTACCAACTTTTTTTTAACATCATTAAAATACCTAAATTTTCCATCATCCAACAGCAAGTCTATCAATACTTTAAAACCTTTTTCTACCCAAGTCATGTAAAAACTCCATTTTTTGATATCAACAAAATTTCTAATTTCAGTATATAAATAATCTGTAGCACTCAAACAATCTTTTTTAACAATTATAAGAGCGTTTTCAACATCTTTCCAAAAATCATTACCTATATGATTAAAAAATTCTTAGATTTCTTTGGTTAAATAAAAAACAAAGTTAAAATCTTTTTTATTAATAAGTTTTTTGTGAAAATTAATCCTAAGAGCTTTAAGTTATCAGCACTCCAACTAATTTTTAAGTCATCACATAGAGTTTGTTTTGATCCTGCCTTGCTTCCCAACCATACTGCTTGAGATTTTGAAACATTAAGCTTCAAACCAGAAGCATTTCCAAATTTTTTTAAAAATTATAATGTATAAAATTTTATCAGAATATCTTGAATAGTGAGGCAGCTAAATTGCTTGTTTGGAAAATATAGGTCAGATCCAGCAACCAAACCAAGTCAGGTAGTGTCCATCCCTAGATGCATCATTCATCCAAGTTTGGTTCAGGTAGGACTTATTGTTTCTTGGGAATAAAAAATATAGGTCAAATCCAGTATCCGAAGCAAGTCTAGTAGTGTCCATCCTTAGATGCATCATCCATGCAAATTTGGTTCAGGGAGGGCTTATGATTACTTGGGAATAAAAATGTAGGTCAGATCCAGCATCCAAAGCAAGTCTGGTAGTGTCCATCCCTCGATGCATCATCCATGCAGGTTTGGTTCAGGCAGGGCTTATAGTTACTTGGGAACGAAAATATAGGTCAGATCCAGTTTCCGAAGCAAGTCTGGTAATGTTCATTCCTAGATGCATTATCCATGCAAGTTTGGTTCTGACAGGGCTTATTTTTAATTGGGAATGTAAATGTAGGTCAGATCCAGCATCCGAACTAAGTCTAATAGTGGCCATCTCTAAATGCATCATCAATGCAAGTTTGCTCCAAGTAAGGCCTCCTTAGGAATGGACCTGCTCCAAAAACTTTAACCTTGTCACTTATCTGGAAAATGTAGGTCAAATCCAGCATCCGAAGCAAGTCTGGTAGTGTTCATCCCGAGATGCATCATCCTTGCATATTTGTATTACCATGTGTAGTTTGGTAAAACCATCTTGAATGGTAGGTTTAAAACTGAGCCAAACACTAATTTTAAAAAAGTGAGGTCAAGGTCAAAGGAAAGGTCAAGGTAAAAAATGTTGATGCAGTTGCATAGCTCTCATCATTATCTATCAGCATATGAAGTTTGATGAAAATATCTTGGATAGTTTTTTTGAAACTAAGCTTTGAACAGAGCTAAACGCAAACTGTGACGGAAGACGGAAGGACAGAAGGACGGAAGACGGGCATGACAAACACTATATGCCCCGGCCATATAAATTGCGGTGCATAATTATGCAGATTATGTTGATTGAGCCATTAAAGGTTTACATTTTAAGATTCGTCTTACAAAATAAAGTCATATATTAGTGCAGTAAAAATCTTCACTATAATTTTACTCAACAAGAGAGATTATCTCAGTTTCAAACAGTCTGTTTTTAAATTGTTTACACAATTTGTTTACATATATTTGATTTTCTTCACAATACAAATGACCCACTCAGCCACAAAGAGGTTGTCTCTGGTGTCTACACATAAACCATACGGACAGTGTAGACCACAGTTATCAATGTAACGGAGGAACTGTCCGTCTTGATCTAGGATGTGGATAAAGAAGTTACTGTCTGATGCGAGGATCTGACTCTGGCTGTCTGTTGTGATGCCGGCTGGATCCAATGAATATCTCTTGTTAGTAGAGGGTCGACCAGTGTATCTAAATCGCAGTTTTCCTGCCTGATTAACCACCACTACTGCACGGGCTCCACGGTCAGCCACACAGATATCTAGGTTCCTGTTCTCACTGATATATTTTAGGTAGTCAGATGAATATAGAGGTTTACCTTCACTATCAAACTGAATGGTTTGTTTCTCTGTGGAGTCAGAGTAACGGACAACCTTTGATTGTCTATTACCATCACTGACCATGGTAACCAGGAGGTCACCAGAGGAGGTACTACAGACGTAGTAAGGTTTCCATCCCTGTAGTCTGATCACTTCCTGTATCTGGTCATTCTTCACCTTGTTCACAGTTCTTGTACCATGGTCAGTATAAACTAGATCTCCACCCCTTGTCACTGCTATGTCATGTGGTTCATTTCCGGACTTAGTTTGGATTGACTTCAGAAGAGTTCCCTGGAGGTTGTAGAGTTTCATGATTTTGTCTAATCCACATGTCCAGATTTGTTCATCACTGAGACAGGTAACACTGTATAGTGCGTTATACCCAGTGTTTATGTTCATGGTCATGATGCTGGTGATAAGCTCTGGTACATCAAACAATGGTTTCACTGGAGGACAGGGTACATCTTCTGGTGTCTTCTTTGTGTAGCCATGTTCTTCTGTTGTAATGGATAATTCTGAAAGAGAACCAAACATTTGATGGAGCTGTTCTGTGCTGATCTGATGAGGAGAGAAACTTGGTAATGAAACAGTGACCTTATGAGGTAAACGTCTGAATTCAGCATTCCTGGATTTGTATGCAGAATGTAGGGAGACATCATTGGATTCTAGTATATTCTTTAATTCAAGTATGCTCTGTTTTACATCAGAAGTTATCTGTTTGATTTCTTTTTCCTGTTCATTTAGAGCAGTCAGGTGTTTAGTTTTCATCTCATCAATTTCAGATTTTTGTTTGTTGACAATGATTTTAATTTTTCTGTGCCAGTTCTCTCCTTGTTTGGTGACAGCTGTTGTCAGTTTCTCGTAATGTTTCTCCAAGTTGACTTTTTCAGAGTTTAAATCTGATGCAATTTTTTCATATTTAGGATGAATTCTTTGCTTTAGTTCTTGTAAGATTTTTTCTATATCCTTTCTTTTAGAACTTAGTGTGTGCAGAGCATAAGATATGTCATGTCCTTTATGTTTTCTTGAGGAGATGCAGGTAGAACAGACATGCATGTCACATTTCTCACAGTAAAGTTCACAATGTTTCTGGGCATGGTTTGGACATTTTGGGTAGTTAAGGTAAGAAGTTCTTTGTTTGTATGGCACAACTTTGTGTCTTTTAGATGAATCAGAAAGATGCACCCCTACACAGGCCTTACACAAGTTAATCTGACAAAGTTCACAATGACTCTGTAATGCAGCTGTTTGACACAAGTCACAGAGGAGAATGTCTTGGGCACTGTATTTGGGGTCCATCACTGGGGTTTGGGTCAATCAACAAGCAGACCCTGTAAAAAAAAGAGAAAGAAACTTAGATCACATAATTACAGGAACTTAAAGGAATTTAAAACCAAACAATAGACAATCTTATCATTTTTTTTGTAAAATTCCAGTAGGGTTTGGAAACGACAGTAGAGGGATATTGTTTGTTACGGTTAAACAAATGCTCTGTGTTCTTTCAAAATTCATTAGGAAGAACATGATGTTTGCAATTCCTTGAAATTGATATCATTAGTAAATTCTAAATTGACACTTTCAGGCTCTTTGATATCATTAATATTGATATCATTGACAGCTGCTTTTTCAATAAAAATGGAAATCGGAAATTTACTTACCTCGTCATTGGTCATTTGCAAAATTATTTTGCTAAAACAGATTCTGATTGCATTCATAATTTCTTTGTTGTTTTTCTGAAGATGCTTGAGTTTCTGATTGATAATATTTATGTGGTTTTTGGAGACCAGGTATTCCAACAATCTGTTAGAATTTCCATGGGTACAAATTGCGCTCCGTTATTAGCAGACTTATTTTCATATTCATATGAAGCAGAATTTATGCATAATCTCATGCGTGAAAAAAGTAAACACTTGCTGTGACTCTACATTTAGATAGATCGACGACGTATTGTCAATTAATAATGGTAATTTCCATTCCTTCGTCGATACGATATATCCTGGTGAGCTTGAGATAAAAGATACCACAGAATACGATACTTCTGTTTCATACTTGGACATTTTATTTGAAAAAGACACTAATGGTAATCTAACAACCAATCTCTATGATAAACGTGATGACTTAAATTTTTCTATCGTCAACTTCCCTTACTTATGCAGCAATATACCTTTATCACCTGCATACGGCGTATATACGTCTCAGTTGATTCGATACGCAAGAGCATGCTCTACGTATGAACAATAATTATTGACAAGCAAGTTGACGAAACAAGAGTATGAGCAGTATCGTTTAAAGTCATCATTTCATGAGTTCTATGGTCGATGCAGTATGACCTTGTCAGCAAATACAATTTCTCATTGAGTCAATTGCTGACTGAGATTTTTCATACCAATTGTTAGTCCATTATTTATACATGTACACTGAATTGATGACGGATTTTCTTGATCATGACAAGGAGCACACGGCGGGTGGGACCGGTCGGCATGGGATGCTCACTCCTCCATGGCACCTGATCCCACCTCTGATGTTTCGGGGGTCCGTGTTTCCTCTGTTCTTATTTTGTATTGTTTTATGGACTTCGAGATTTAATACTGTTCGTTATCCCCATATCCTTCTTTCATGAGTTTAAATTAATGTCATCCATGACGACAACTAGAGTAATGTTCGATCGCAGGTAGGTTAAGGTTACAACCAAATATTCTACTTGCCTATATATTATGACGTCATAGTAAGCTATATGACGTGACGCTTAGAGATAATTATTTCTTAAAATCGATATCTAAGATTGATTTGAAGTCGTAAAAATGAATCAAAATATGCAGAGGCATAGTGTAAACGGAATTTTGTCGTTCCTGGGTCTCTGTAGTTATCACAGGGGTTACATACCAAACCCGTGACGTCATAACTGTTGATCATGCAGTAGCAGAGTGAAACTGAATCGTAACGAGAATTGATGTAAACAAACACAAGAAATTGGAGTTTAAAAGCATTTAGAATGAATATCATGTGTGATTGTTGTGGGAATAAAGCGTATGAATAAGGTATGGTAATATAATTTTGCAATTTCCTCGTAGAATTATAGCAGGGAGGGTGTTTACTTGCCGATCAGCCTTTCCTCTGTCGTTCGTAACAAAAAAAATGCAAAAGTTCAACACTACGCCGCATACCTTGAAACTTAATTTTTGTTTCTATCTAAAGTTCTTATTCTTTTGTTTTTGGAAAGTGCTGCTAGAATCGTATGGTTTACGGGAATTGATGCTTTTTTTTCAATGTTATGAACAGAATGTAAAAATTTTAGGAAGGTTTCGTCCGAAATTGTTGAATAATTATTTTTATAATAGGACAGTACGATTCTAGCAGCACTTTTCATGGTGCAGAGATGTTTTAACATAACTATTATTACAAATTGAAACTAATTATCCCCGGGGTAGTGTTAAACTTTTCACTTTTTCATTAAGGCATATTTTCTAATTATAGACGTCACGTGGTGACGTCGTGGTGAAGTGCCTCCTGTAGTATAAGTGCCATTAAAGTCTATAGAATGCATAATTATAGCAAAACTTTTATCCTTCACTTTTCCGATTTATTAGTGTTATATAATTATAAAAAAGTATGAATTCGCCGAATTCTGATCCATGTGCTGCCTTAACATACCCGCGATGTTAAAATCTACTTAATATAATTGTGACTCACCTCTTAATCCAACATGGTTTCCTTGATTATTCCGCCCATCACAATTTAGCTCCTTGTTTTTATAGAAGATTTTTTCCTGTTATCAGGTCACCTGATTTATATACCTGAGATATGTTTATCTGACAGTGTCTATAGATTAAAACTAAAGGTTGGAAATCACAATCATTTTATAGATGGTTATTTCATCTCCACAAATGAAGTATATATATATATATATATATATATATATATATATATATATATATATATATATATATATATATATATATATATATATATATATATTTTGACTCGTCTGTCTGTCTGTCTAACTGTATTAGGCATTCATTGTTTGGAAATAATTTGTTCAAACTCTGTAGGATTGATTAATTTTATTTGAACTACAAACACCAGCTTTTTTTTAGATTAATCTTTTTTAAAACAGGAGGCCCAAAGGGCCACATTGGTCACCTGAGTAACTCTTAAGATGTCATTCTTTTACCAGAATTTCCCTCATGTAATACCTATTGTGGCCCAAAACCCCCGGGGTTGTGATTTTTACAATTTAGAATCAATAATACCCCAGGATATTTCCACTTTAGATTATCAATACTACCTAGGGATGCTTCCATATAATATAAACAATCACAGCTTTGCAGTTCTAGAGAAATGTTTTTTTTAAAAACTTTCTATGTATTCCTATGTTAAACTTTGATACCAGATTATGGTCAATCCGTACTCTGGGGGTCATGATTTGAAAAAAAACTTGAATCTACACTACCAGAATTTGCTTCCATAAACTATGACATATCATGGCTTTTCTGTTTTTGAGAAGATTTTCAAGAGATACTCGCGGATATTTATTCATTGGAAGTGTATAAAAATTGGTTAACAGTATAATATTCACTGAGCTACTATCTTGGACACCTCCTGTGATCGATATCGTAGGCATGCACAAATCAGCAGAACATGCTTATAGCAAAAACGCTTATAATGAACTGACTCTTACAGCGGAGCAAATTATATTTCCCATGGATTTAAATTATACTGAAAAACTGATATGTATAACCAATTACTTTGATAAAAAAACAGAAAAGCTTTCCTGTAGGTATCCTTACCTGAATTGAGGATTCCTGTCACAATGAAGACACGAGAGGCAAGCTGTCTAAGCTTTCCCCTGGGGAGTCCAGCAATTTCTGTATTGTTTATTATTATGAACTTTAGTTTTGTGTAATTATGGCTGTTTGCTTGCAAAAATCTTTTCATTCTTATTTCAATTTTTATTATGAAAGCATATGTACAACAATATTTAAAAAAGTGAAAATAGCAAATTTCTGAATAACTCACGAAAAATGAGGTATCAGGAGAATTTGGTAATTATAACCTCCCTCTAACAAGGATTTCCTAATTTCCCAGTTTCTTTTAAGCAAAAGTATGTACTCATGGTAATTGTATAATGCTTTCATGCATAGCACAATGAATAGATCAGCTAGCTGTACTTAATTTTAATTTATATAATGTCCTTGACCTGACCTTGACATTGTACAGGGTCATTTCGTCTATGACAGTTGAGATGAGAGATGAAGTAAGACTTTGTTGTAACGTCTGATGTCCTGTTCTACTGTAGATAGCATTAATGGTCTCACCAACAGGGGGCGCTACACAGCTAATCAGCTAAAAAAGATAGAGCACATTTTGAAAATACTCTACAACGAGAAAATTTGGTGCATATCGGCGCAAATAAATTTTAGCGCTATGCTTGTCATTAAAATATATGATGAGAGACATTTTTTCCTTTGATCCACGCCCGTCTTTGATTTTGTGGCCATGATATTAGTTTTCTGTGTATAAGAGATTTGTATATATCTACCTCAAGGACATTATATATATATATATATATATATATATATATATATATATATATATATATATATATATATATATATATATATATATATATATATATATATATATATATATATATATATATATATATATATATATATATATATATCGATTTATTTTTGCGAATTTGGGTCAAAAAACTGTTGATTAATTTTTACGTTTCAAATTTTTGCGAATTGTCACTGGTGCTAAAAGTAAAAAACACTGAAGATTTTCATATCAGGTTAAGTTTCAAATAATATGCCCAGTTAGAAAACCACCAATATACTCGCAACGTGGTAAGATATTTTAAAATCTCTCCGAAACAATTTTGATAAAAATACATTTAAGGATTTGCACTGAAAATAATTTCTAAATCAATTATAACAAACATTTTAGAGGTTGTAAATGCCTTTTAACCTAAAGTATAATCCAAATGAAGAAAAAATATAACTAATTTTCTCAACGTTTGGTTTTTTTCTCACCTAAAATTTACACGCGCCACGTTTACATTTGGAACTTTCTAGTAAATGCACTGAGTTTGTGTTATCGCCCGTGTTGAAACACGCGTTCGTGTTGATGCACCGTTAAATGACATTTCTCTCTTTATTGGCAAATTAATTATTTAAAATAATTAAAAAGGGGCTTTCCGCAACAGTGCTTGTCAAATCATCGGACGCTATTGCATATAATGAGGGCAATTTACACACTCGGTAATTAACTTGTAGTTAGCCTATAGTCGACTAGT